TGGTTGTAATGTGACAACATATGGAAAAGTTCAAGGGGTATGAATACTTTTGCAAACCACTGTATCTCCTGTCAGAACACCGACTGCAGGCACTCGATTTCATCTAAAGAGCTCCTCTCCATCTGTTTCAGGTTAGTGGACTTCTTTCGGTAAACTGTCCCGTCGGGAAATCTGTCACTACGTCACACAGTGGATTCTCTCTGATTGGTTGACGAGGTGCGTCGAGCTGCAAAAGTTCAGATTTTCTAACTTCAGTGATTTGCGCCTCAGCGCGTCGAACGCTCAGATCGTTCAAATCGCGCTGCTCTAATCGCGCTTGAGGCGCCACAGCACTTCCTGATGCTGATTGAAGCGCGTCCACCATAGACTTTGTATGTAAACCTGCTGCTCCTGACGCTGAAATCACGTTTGGTGTGAACGCACCATTATTGTTAGAGTTTGAAGGGATTTCTGCAAATTCCTCTGTTACAGTCGACAAACTAGAGCAGACCTTGAACTAGAGTAAGAAAATGCCTCAACTTGTTTTCGCAGCTTTTCTGGTAAAATTGTATCAGTAACCTTTAAATCTGGTTAAGTTCAGGAGAACAACTACACTCGTTTTACAATGTTGACTTTATTCTCAACATTTTGACTTTAATCTCAAAACTCAAACAACAAAATTAGATAACTCCCTGTTTGCTCTTCTTTCTAGTGATCCTACAGCGTTGTGCAGTCAATGAAGCGTTGATTCAAGGACAGACATTAAAAAGGGGCGGATTCGTTCAGATATAAACCGTACAGAAACAAAAACGAACAGTTTTGGCCCAAAAAGTGAAGGAATCCTCCAGTGCTGGTGGTCCACTCGCCCACATAAAGGATCACATCAGCTTGGGTGCAGCCCACAGGGACGAGTGTTTTAATAAGCATCATCCGCTTTAAAACTATTAATCTGCTTGTATCCAACCGAGACCAAAGATTCCCCAAATAATGCAGTAACAGATGACGTAGGACTGAGACTGTGTAACCTCCCACTCAGAGTGAACTCATCGCCTCAGCATCCTCCCGTACGGAGGAACCATGATCCATAAATAATACTGCACGTTGACTGAACACTGCTTGAAATACCTGAGCTGCTGCGAACTGAGAAATCAATGCTGTCGATTACAGTTTGTAACAAACGGTCAGGACTGGCTTTCCTCTCAAAACGTCTTCACCGGGTCAGCTGACCAGCCTACAGACACAAAGTGTGACAAAGTAGAGCGGTGCAACCAAGTCAAAAAAAAAAAGGCGCCCTGATTAGCCTACACTTGAAGGGTTGGTGCCAAAGATGCACTAAACGTGAAAAGAACAAAACAAGTAGAGGAAAACATGGCTGCATGTTTTAACGAGATTCATCATTTCTTACATTTGGACTTCATCGTTTCAGGAACTAAAAAAAACTAACAAAAATTAACTCAACGTCTTTGTTTTATTAGAGAGTTGAGTTTGTCAGAACGCCATCGCCACCTTTCGGGTTGGTCTACAAAAGGCTAGAAGACAGAAGTGCTTTGGGGCGTAAACCTCTGGGACCTTGCATCAATTGGGCTCCGTTGGTTTTTGTGCAGGCGGACGCAGAAACCAAGCAGAAGCCTCGACTACCAGGACAGATTTCTGCTCCTCGTCCGATTCTTCAAACTAAAAATCAGCTAAAAGTTTGCTTTCACTTTGTGAGCAAACCGGCGCGTGGAAAAAACCCCAAAACAAAACCATGGATAAACTCTCTGCAGATGTGCTGGTTTGTGTTGCATTATTTGAGTGTCCTGCTCACTTAGCGCCCCCATGTGCCAGAGAAGTATGGAGATTGTCTACCAACGAAGAAGAAAGTACAGCGTGAAATATTCGTGCTGCACCTCCACCTTGATGAGGTAATGTGAGCCGTTCTCCAGCAGCGTCCACTGTACATACCAGCTGGATTCACCTCGCCACACTGGGCACGCTGGGTCCAAACAATTACAAAGGTCAACAATGAGAAAGTCGTATGAAACCGCTCATTGACCATTAAAAAAACCCACACTGATGCTTTTTACACAATAGTGAGGAGATTTCAGAGGACTCGCTGCTTGACCAACATCCAGACCTTAGTAACTTTCTATTCCAACATTTGTTTCCTTTTTACCAAAAACAAACACAAAACAAAAATTTCCAATCGGAAATATGAAAAGTGCTCCTCTGGAGTGAGGCGACTTGTGTGCAGATCGTGCACACAATGATTGATCCATGTCTCTCCCGTAAAAGATCCAAATTACTCTCTGAAGCTAGGTATCTATACACAATCCATAAAGATATTTAATAGTTTCTGTTTCAGGTTGATTATTATCGTCTCCGGAGGGGCTAACACCTCTCAGGTGTGCCGCCAATTCATTAGGAGACGTCGTTCGTAATAATAAAATAAAAATAATAAAACAAAACGAGAAGAAAAGACAACCTAACAACCTAAAATCCAAAAGACGAGCAGAAACGAGAGTCCAGATTTTCAGGTTTTTAGGTACAGAATCTGGACTTTGATGTTCTGTACAATCTGCAGTAACAGCTGATGTCAGGAGGGACTGCTGGGATAGAGCTTTGCTGAGTGCATACTGAAGAATGGAGGATGGGATGAGCGGAGCCGTCCTCCACCTGAACACCACGCAGATCTCCGGACAGTCTGATGACGGGCGTCTCACACCCGTCAGGCGACACATCTGCGACACGGCAGACAGCTCTCTGAAACGTCAAAAAAACGTCTCCGAGGACAGCGGGAAAGTTTTCCAAAAGCTCGGGTTTCATGCGATTCTCTTCTGTACACGTCTTCTTCCAGTTAGTTCCAGTTAACGAGTCCTGATGGGAGGCCGCGTACCGACGCAGGGTTTCAGGCTGTTTCCCTGAATGTCAGACTGAACGCGTTGAGTTTCGGATGTGCACCGGTGAGAGCGCTGCGCTCCCTCCCACCGCTTGGTGCTCTTTTCAAGAGCAAACTCAGTCCACTTTTGTTCGGTACGTTTTACTTTGTCAAATCCATGTCTTAGCACTTTTACAAAGTTCATAGTTGTTAGTTTTTATGTTGCATAGCAACCAGAGTGCACCCTGTTGATCTTTTTTGTTGTTGTCCTAACTAAGCTTTGGAATCGAGTAGAGAAAAATTTGCAAATCGTCTCAGCAACCCTATGATTTCATGTCTCTACTCGAGATTTAGAACGGACAGTGGAGAAATAGAAATATTATAAACACTTAGAAAAGAAAAGAAAAGCATAAAGAATAATACTAATTAGAACTTAAATGGTAGTTGCAGGTATATTAGTGCTACCACCCGTGATTATAAAAGGAATTATAGAAGAGAATTTGGACTAGAATAAGAAGAACTGAGATGCACTGACAGTCTGTGTCCTTGTCCAGCTTGGTAGGGTCTGGTGGGTTGGTTTCAGGTAGGCACACGGACAGGCACTGCATGCGATGAACGGTGGGATGAAATATCGTCTGATTTGGGAGCGCTTCAGAACTGGGTTAGAGGGCAAACAGAGCTGGCCTCCGACACGCAGGAAGGATCAGCAGGGCTCATTTCTGTCCGGTGATGGACTGCGATATGGATCGAGGCGGGATCATGTCCAACAGGTACTCTCTCTGCCGGTCCGCTAAGCTGGAGGTCTTATGGGCTCCGACTGCTGCAGGATTCAGGTAAGCAATATTTAACCCTGCAGGAACAAAGCACACTCGTTAGGAACAGAACAGAATGGACTTTCTCTTCAGGCAGAACCTTTTTAACACGGGCTCCTCTGCTGATTTTCTTTTACTTAAACAGAAAAGAGTTTCAAGATTATGTAAACCAGGATTAGGCAAATTGTACTGTGTGCAATTAGTTATATTTGGCACTTTGCAACTATTGTGATTACTGATTTATATGACTCATTGCACCAGGGAGCTATGGCTAATGCTAACACAGAGCTAACACAAAAAAAAAATCATGGAGCTAAAACTAATGCTAAGGTAACACCAGCGTTAAATATTTCTAAGTACCAGTAAATATTGGGCAAAATTGTATTGTGAGTAATAAATCTGAAAAAGTGTCACCGATTATTTGGCACCAATGGGATTACTGACTTACATAGGTCAATGCAGAGCAAAAGTAACGCTAATGCTAACATGGAGCTAATGCTAACCTGACACTAACCTTCCGTAGAGTCAAAAACATGCAAGTGAAATTGTTTTCTATTAATTGTTATCAGATAAAGACCATAATTAATTGTGAGAGATAGAGATAGATAGAAATAGATAGAGATAGATATATAGAGAGATAGATAGAGATAGATAGATAAACAGAGATAGAGACAGATAGAGATAGATAGATAAATAGAGATAGAGATAGATTGATAGACAGAAAGAGAGAGAGAGAAGAAAAATAGAGAAAGATAGAGAGAGATAGAGATAGATATATAGAGACAGAGATATATATAGAGATAGATAGAGATAAAGACACACATATATATATATATATATATATATATATATATATAGAGAGAGAGAGAGAGAGAGAGAGAGAGAGAGAGAGAGAGAGAGAGAGATATAAAAGAGAGAGATATATATATATAGAGAGAGAGAGAGAGAGAGAGAGACAGATAGAGATAAAAGAGAGATAGATACATAAATAGAGATAGATTGATAGAGATAGAGAGAGAGATAAGAAAAATAGAGAAAGATAGAGACAGACAGAGATACAGTAGATATATAGACAGATAGAGATAGATAGATAGATAGATAGATAGATAGATAGATAGATAGATAGATAGATAGATAGATAGATAGAAAAATAGAGATAGAGATAGAAAGATAGATAGAGATAGAGACAGATAGAGAAATAGACAGAGAGATAGATAGAGACAGAGGCTGTGTTTCCATCTAATTTAATTTGAATTTTGAGCAAATTTTTTTAATTTCGCAAAAAAGGAAGAAAACAAAGAAATGTGAATCAGACGTGTTTCCATCAACTGGCTTGAAGTGAATCACTTATGTCAGATGCATGCGTGTAGTAAACAGGAAGTAGAAGTCACATCTCAGGACCATGGAGAGAAGTTATCAGGAAGGTGTTGCTACTATCAGGAAAGTTGTAATTATTCTGTTATCAACTAATCCTGGTGATGTTACTGCTGTCTGGAGACGTAGAGAAAGAAACGTGATTCTCTTCACGTTACTGGAATAACTGGGAATACGCCGAAGGCAGGAGGAGGGAACATCTTACTGCCCTGCTGCTGACAAAGGTTTCTCCACCAAGTACTAAACCATGTTTGACCTGAAAACTTATTTACTCAATTCCACTCAAATTAATTAGTAACTTTTATGTTAAGTGTTATTTTTTCTAAACTCTAGTTGATATCTGTGTCTCTGTTAAAATAGTAAAGCTTTAAGCTGTTAAAGACTTGGTGGAAGCAGAAACTGGCCTGGAGTCTAGGAACAAGTCTGAAAGACACTTTGTGAAAGAGTAAAGAGAAAGAAAGGTATGATGTAATGAAGTAAAGCTGACCTCATCGTTAGACTGTACTGATCTGTGTGTGTAGGCGTACAGAGGAGGGATACATGGTGGTAAATCAGAATATTAAACAAACAGCAGTAAAATCTCTCTTAAACCCTCCTTACTCCTGAACTGAACCATGATCCAACATGACAAACGTTCTCCTGACAGACGAGCGAAGGCCTGACACATTTTGGTACCTGGGATGTTGTAGATTTGACGGCGGCTGTCGTGCTGCAGCCGGTTGCTGCTACTGCTGCCTCCGCTGCTGCCACAGTGCTTGGCACTGCTCATTCCCATCAGGCTGCTGGCCACAGACAGCTGCGAGGCCTGAGCGAAGTTGGACAGGACCCCTCTGGCTGAGTTGGACAGACTTCGCTGCAGAGAAGCTTGAGGTTGGGGGGTCTGGAGATGGAAGACACCATAACTAACAGCACAAAGCCACACTGTGCTCCTGACTCATTAACATGCTTTACTCTTATTTAAACTTTAATTATGGAGAAGTACTGCTTTATGTTCGGTCATTTGTCCTGAAACCGATGCACAGATCACGTTAACAGGAAGCTGAACGGACCCTAACGATGCAGAGGTGTGCAGTACCTGGCGGAGGGCGTGCTGTCGGATCATGGTGTCGGTCTTGGAGACGTTGGGGCCAGTGGGAGCGGAGCTGGGAGAGAGCGCCGCCTGCTGCTGCAACCTCTGTTCAATCTCCTGAGGGTCAGACAGTTTACTGTTAATATTTCACAGAGCTAAGCACAGACACAGAGAGGATTCAGACCAACGCAACTTCAAATTGTTCAGTCTTTATTAATCTAAACTTTATCTTTGACTTCGATCAAACTTTGCTTTTATTTGTAAATTTGAGAAACTGGAGAAACCTGAGCCATTTTTTTAATAATGTTGAAAAAAAGTCACGTTTTCATTTGTAATATTTTGCTAAATGTACAGAAGTAGGGCTGCAACTAACGATTATTTTAATAATCGATTAATCGGTTGATTATTTTTTCGATTAATCGGCCAAATCGTTAAAACGCTTAATTACATGAATATGAGTAAATATAAATTAAGTTAACTCCTCAAGGATGCAAGTTATTGATAATGAATTAATCTGAAGTTGATTTATCTTATAGATTGATTAACGATTAATTAATAAGCAGCCATTTTCTTAAAAACCGGAGTTAACTCTTGAATCGAGGGTCTTCTCATAAAATGAAGGATTTTTTTATAATCTCCTGACTTAAAAAACAGAAGCACATAATACATATTTTAACTATTTATTTTACCAGCTGTATTAAATAC